ACTATTTATTTAAAAAACAATATGTGATAATATGTTTTTCAAAATTTTCTAACAAAAAGTTTTGTCGCCTATCTGTATACATATGTTTGTATATAGAAAAGCTCCGTTCTACATCCACCGAAGTTATAGGAGCGTATTTAAAATTATTTAAAACTTCAGCCTCTATATTTAATGTTTCATCAAACACCCCACTTAAAACATTTGCAACCTTAGATAGAAATATGAAACCAGTATTTTTATCTATGACTGACTTAAATTTTGCTAAAATGTCTTTGCCAATTTGACCCTCAACAATTTTGCAAGATAGTTCAAATTTTTTTATTACTTTAACTGCTTCAATTAACGATAAATTCGTATCCTGTAGCTGAAGGATGCAACTTGGCACAAAATCATAGTTTGATTTTATGTATGAAAGTTGCTGTGGTAGTAATTTATTTTTCAGTAATTCTTTGGAAACTGTAAGTGCTTCGGAAGAATCGTCAGCTAATTCCATTATTACTGGCTTTAATTCAGAAAAATGTTCTGCATAAAACATTGCAGCCTCTAACCAAGTTCCCCATCTAGTAAGAATAGGTTTTGGTGGAAGAGGAAGATTGGGCAAATGTTCTTTATACAACTGAGTTCTTATAGGTGACTTAAGAAATATTTTTTCATATTTGAAATTAAATTATTAACAAGAGGAAATTTATTTCTAATTTCTTCTGCGACCCTATTTAAACCATGTGCTAGGCAAGTTGTATGTACTAAACGCGGATAAAAAATTTTCAAATTCTTTCCTACTTTAACCATGTAAGGTGCAGCATCTAAAAGAAACAGCAAAAATTTTTCATTGGGAACAGCTAATGGAAGAAAAAAATTTGTTAAACTATCTTGCAAAAACCTTGTAACTGTTAGTGCGTTGGTTTTATCCAACTGCTTGAAAGCAATTAAATGCGATTTACAAGCTTGTTCATTTTTAAAAGATCCAATTAATAAATGTGCGATATAACGTCCAGAAGAATCAATTGTTTCATCCACACATACATAAAAATAATTGTCTCCTATATCTAATTTTATTTTACTCAGTACAGCAGAATAATCAGAATCGACCTCGTTTCTTCTTAAGCTTCTTTCACTCGGAATATTCTATTTGCAGTATTTTCCAAGAAACATGCGCAAATTTTCGTTCGATAATTTGGACAAAGGTATATTTGAGCTTAACAATGCTTGACGACGTGTGTGACCGGCAGAAATGGCTGGAAACACACTTCTCGCTTGTTACAAGTTGCCTGCTTATAGTAGTCGTACAAAAGTTTGTATTTCGGAATTAAGAATAATTCGGAAATCGTCTTAGTACACGTATAAAACAGGTTAACAACTCACTGGTCAAGCAGAAATACGAACTGACGCGACTCGCCACGTGGAGGACCTCTGAGGTGCCTACAACAAATGGTAAAAATAGGGAATGTGCAAAAATAGGTGTAAATAGTATGCAAGTAGAAATGAAATAGAATGTGGTATTAAGAACTGTAGGAATAGCAAATAATATACACACAAATATATATAGGTACGTAAATAAGGTAACAATAGAAATAAGATCAGTAAGCTAATCTGTAAGAGAAGGTTAAGGTTAAAAAATACGATATGCTGGAAAATAAGAGAAAAATAGAACACAAGTAAATAACTGGAGCAACAACGTTGCGACAGCAAAAATACAAATACCAATTTGTCGAATAATAATAATAATAATAATATATTAATATGAAAAATGGTAAAGCATCAATAAACAAAAAAAAAGGCAACAATACTGTTACACAAAATATACCTGTAAAATGTCCACAACGAATGTTCTTTACTTGAAAGAACAACGAGTAGCAAATATACACAAATAATAAGGTACTTATTAAAAAGAGTACAAAATAAAATACATATAATATTCTCGAGTGAGAATATTATAACACAAATAGATAT